TAGGGGCACCGCCGGAGCTGTTGTTTTGCCATCGGTCCCAGGCAACTCCAGGGAGCTGCAGTACCCGGCGGCCAAAGCGGCCACCTCGTCGACTCGCAGGTCCTGTGGGATTCCGTGATGCTTTAGTGCTTCACCCACAGAAGCACGGGCATAGCAGTAGGATGTGGGGCTATGTGTCTGTCCACCTCTTCATTGAAAGAACAACGTATACAGCGCCTGGTCCCGCCGAAGCTCGGTATCGACCGTGACTTATTCACAACTGGCGGATCCAGGAAGCGGTCTTGGACACTGCGGGGGCTTACCCCAAAAAGGTTTCTCGGAATTAATTTAAAAAAACTCGGATTTCGATTCCTTGCGTACTGCTGTGCAGTGTGATTAACCAACATTTCCTCAGAAAAGTTGTGAAGTTTTCTCTGATTCTCGAAAAGCGATTTCGGGCGCTGCCAATGTGGGGGAAGACATTTGCTCCAAATGCCTTCCCCTGGATCCGCCAGTGGGTTGCCCCACTCCGAGCTTGACTAAAAACGTCTTCAAACCCCACTAGAAACCGATGGTAAAGTGAATTTAAATCCAATAACTCATCTCTGTCTGCCAGCCTAAATATACAACACATGGTACGGCACCCGGCCCTGTCTGAGCTATGAGCCGATCGCGATATTTTCGGCTTTCCCCATCCCAAGCTCGATTAGAAACGTTCTCCTTCCCCACCCGATTGCTGATGTCAATTCAAATTCAATACCTCATCTCTGTCTGCCCGACCATAACCCATTCATTGCACACCGTTCAGCGCCCCGCCCCGCCAGAAGTATCCTAGCGCGCTGAGCACTTGCCTCCAGCCGCGTCATCGCGAGGCCCCGCGCGGCCCATAAATTAATACATTGCGCGAATAGCCGTGTCACCCCCCTGGGTGTGTCCTTCAAACACCAGCTAAAGCAGCATATTTTTAATATAAGGAGTGTTTAAAACATCGTCACGTGCATCCGTGTGGCCACTTTGGCCGACCTGTTCCTGTTTTTTAACGTTTGAATTGCTGACGTGCGATTGTGAAAAACCATGTGTGATAATGTGGATCAGCGATGCCATTCCTTGGGATTTGTCCCAAGATCTTGGGATTTGAACATTAACATTGGGATCTTGTGATTTGCGCTGCATATCTTGGGATCTGGCAGAAGCTGATTTCACTTTGTCTTCTCATGCTGTCGAATGCTTTTTTCCTTGGTCGATAATAAATTTAGGATGGATTTGCCTCACGGACGGTTAACCCGCGCCCCGTTGGGCTCTGCCGAGCAACGCGCCCTGTTGGGGGGGGGGGGGGCATTTTGGCCACCCCCCCCCCTAAGATCTCGAGAACCACGCAACCTAGCGACAAGCGGCAAACGGTGTTGGATAGCCCTATCAGGGAACTACCTTGTGACCCAATTTTATTGACCTAGGTCAAACCGATGACGTCACAGGTCAGGTCAAAGGTCCAATTTTCACCGTTTACAGGCATTTCAAGAAATGCGTTGTAAAATCGAGTAAATTGCATTTCATTGAAAATCATCGATGGGAAAATGTTCTTCAAACACATATTTTGCTATTTGAGGTCACTGATACCAGGTCAGGTCACAGAGGTCAGGTCACGGGGGGTCACAATATGAAAGTGTCGTGTGATACATGTTTTATGGTCCATTTTACATGACAAATGCGATTATGTGGGTCAGGCAGCCTTTGGGGCCAGCTTAGGTCACGTTTTGGTCAAATTCAGGTTAAGGTCAGGTCAAATTAGGTCAAATTTCAAAGTTGATATTTTTGCATAAAATAGGTATTGAATCCATGCAGCTCGTCACGGGGAGTTCAATGGTGGTCTTTGTTTTGCCGTACGAGGTCTAGAGTCGCTAAAAATTGAGTCAAAAAATTTGACGTCATCATTTTTGAACAGTTTTTTCGCTATAACTTGGCCAAAAAACAAGATATCGATCTGAAATTTGGTATGTATAGAGAAGAGCGCAGGGACTATCACATATATTCCGTTTTTTTCGAAATTCGGAAAAATTTCGGATTTGTTTTTAGTTTTTCTAAAAAACTTACTTTTTTGAATTTTTGGGGTGAAAAACCCAAAATTTTGAAAATCCGAGACAGGAGTTTTGTAGCGCCGCTTTTTGTCTACTAGACCATATAAAGAACTTTGAAATTGCTTGATAGCTGTAGATTTGGTGAGCGTTTCAAGATTGCATGTTTTTTGCTCATTTTTGCTCGAACATGACCTCAGTTTGACCTCAATAACTCCTGACCTAAGGTGACTTATCACTTAAGACTTGAAATTTGGTGTGAAGGTGTCAAATTGATGCCCGAGATGGTACTGAAAATGTGGCGGCGCTGCGCGCCGCCGTTTTCTTGCTATTCAGGAAAAACCACAGGGGGGGGGGGGCAAAATGCCCCCCAACGGGGCGAGGGTTAATAGCATTCAAACATATTGAAGTAACGGACGAAGCTTGCGATGTTTCTTGCAGGCATTATCTTTCCGAGGTCGCAGAATTATTTTTGTAGGGTAGACCGGGGCAAGTCGCCCCGCCGAGGTAAAACGCCTCACCGATGTTTCTCGGAACTGGCAAGGTTCTGGAGAAACATCATCTCTTCTATAAAACGTGCACTATATGATCATTATATGAGCAGACTGGAAAGAAATTGTGATGACTCTTTAGGGAGATATAGCCAAAAAAGTGTTTTTGGAGTGATTTTTATGTTTTGTTGTCAGCTTATGCATCATGGCGTTCTTTTATGGTCCACATCAGGTTAACGACTTTTATGTATTTTGAACAACTTTATCTAACGCTTATAATGCCGGCTTGGTTCGTGTTAAATTATGCCTTGCTGGAGTGCAAGGCGTTGTTCTCTGACCGAACTACGTGATGGGGTAAAACGCCCCAGTAGGTCGGGGGGCAAAACGCCCCATGGGGCGATTTACCTCATGTGTTGTTCGGACTACCCACTTCCTAATGTTCGGTAGCTGGCTAACAGTAAGTTTCTATGCATTTATATGTACTTTTCTCAGCAACTGGATGGCAAAGGAAGCATTTTGTTAACATTTCCATTGCAATAACTTATTATTTGGCCTTATGAGGCAGGTTAAAAACCTGCTCATACAATAGTGTCATAGCTGAACACCTGATAGGGTGGAAGGAGCTAACTTCAGTGCCGTGCTTCCCAAGGTCTAACAGACCTCTCATATAAGATTTAAGTCAACTAGCATGTTAAATCTTTAATCTAGAGTATGGGGCTTCTTGCCCCAGGCCGTGGGGCGTTTTGCCCTGGGGTTGGGGCAAAATGCCCCATTTGCAGTTGCTTCACAAATCACTTCCTAGCTAGGAGTCCGATCATAAGTGAATGAATTTGAGGGGTGGAATTTAAAGTAAAATGTCCAAAGAACGCATTGAGCACAAATTTGGCCTTCCAGGTGATGTGGGACAAAAGTTATGTAGCAAAATAAATTATCTGGGGCGTCTTGCCCCAGGCTACCCTACCATTACTTGTTATGGGTATAGTAGCAGCTTTCAGTCGCTGTTCGCAACTGGCGCTCATTTGTTTAATTTCCAACTACCGATCAACGGGGATGGGTGGTTTGGCGCCATGATGTTGGATGGCTATGAAAAGCTTTTACAAATATTATGCCTAAAAATATTGAAATATTGAAATTTCAGAAAGCGGCTCCCGCACAAAGCGTTTCATTTTACGGTTTTGCTCTATGGAGGCTTATCCGTTGACCGCGAAACAAAATAAGGGCAATTTGTCTTTGACCTCGGAAAAGTGTCTGGTCACCTGACCTCTGGGCTCTGCTGGACCAAAAATAATCAAAGCGTAACCTTGCGACCTTCACAACACTGCTGACGTCTTGTAACTATATAGTCCAGGGGACGAGTTAGGTCCTCGTTTAGACCCCCTCGCCATCGTCGGCTTGAAAATTCATGGGCCCCAGCGGGCACTGGCTTACGCGCAGATTCACAGGATAGGCTTTTCTATTTCGGGATGCACATAAGCTTTTAAGAGCTTGTTTTGGAGCCCATATTTCAAAACTCAGTGGTGGAAAACACTAAACATCAGCCTGACTTCACCTGACCCTAGCTTCTCCAAATGTGTCACGAGACAAATTTCGAAATAAATCCAAAATGCCACAGCCCACAGACTTCGTTTCCAAGAAGTTCTAACAGATTCGAACTTTGTGTTTTGGGTCCTTGACCCACCATTGACGGTCGACGAATGACCTGACCATAATATCAGATACCACCGGCTTCATGTTGTCTAGGCCAGCATCTTCATTTTTCGTGAAGCTCTTATACTCGGTCAGGAACCGATCAGCTGTAGGAGTTCGATCGACCCCCTCCCCCTCCCCTCCCCCGGCCTCTAGGTACATTAGCTGCTGTAAAGACGCCAATAAGGACAAGGGTGAACCCGAAGAAGAGAAAGTTGAATACTAAACACACTAATATGTCCAAAATAAGCTATGGATTTACTTGGGGTACTCCTAAGGATATGCGATGGGTAGTCTTGGGATTCGAGACGAGAATCTTGGGAAATTCTGGTCGAGATCTTGGGATGGAGCAAAAATGTGGATGGCATCACTGATGTGGATCTTTCGCCAAATAAATCTAAAATCTGAAATCTGTCTGTAACGGCCCACGGTGCATTTGAGGGAGCTGTTCCGTCTGTAACGGCCCACTCGTAATGATGGAGGGAGCTGCTCCGTCTGTAACGGCCCACTCGTAATGATGAAGGGAGCTGCTCCGTCTGTAACGGCCCACGGTGCATATGAGGGAGCTGCTCTGTCTGTAACGGCCCACGGTGCATATGAGGGAGCTGTTCCGTCTGTAACGGCCCACTCGTAATGATGGAGGGAGCTGCTCTGTCTGTAACGGCCCACGGTGCATATGAGGGAGCTGTTCCGTCTGTAATGGTCCACTCGTAATGATGGAGGGAGCCGTTCCATCTGTAACGGCCCACGATACCGTCAGCTCAGGCCGTACCGTCCATGACAGCGCTGAAGAAGCGCAGCAGAAGTCCGGTCTCCGGCAGCGGCGGTCGGCCACGGACACCGGGCCGGCCGGCTGACGGCGGCGGCGGGCCCCCGGCGGGGAGCGGCGGCGGGCCCCCGGCGGGGAGCGGCGGCGGGCCCCCGGCGGGGAGCGGCGGCGGCGGCGGGCCGTCCTGGCGGCGCTCAGCTGGGGCAGAGGCGCGGGGTCAGTCTGCGTCGTTCGTCATGACCTCTTGTGACCATAAGTGGCATACAGGTCATTGTCGAACGCAAACATAGCTCAACTGGAACTAGATCAAAACATTCCTGTGAGTTTAATAAGCATCACTGTAAAGAGCGCGCGCGTTTGATCTACATATGTGATGGCGAATCTGTGTGCATCTGTGCGTAGTATTATAGTACACTGAGAAAAATATTCACTCCAAATAAAAGAGTAAAGTGGTTCCATTTTCAACCCTGTGTTAAGAGTACAATTACCCCACTTACTCCACTAAAAGGTGAAGGATGACTTTTTTTTTATAATGGAAAGGTGTACGCACTACGCATACCACCACTAGAGTAAACTACTACTTGAAAAAAGAGCAATTGAGCGCGTACTTCATGATGAGCTTACACCACCTAGAGTAGTCGTAACCCTAGGTAAGTAGGTAGACTACTCTAAGTGGTGTAAGGTTACCATGAGGTACGCGCTCAGTTACTCTTTTCAAGAGGTAGTTTACTCTAATGGTGGTATGCCTACTTCTTTTCATCATAAAATAAGTCATGCTACACCTTTAAGTGGAGTAAGTGGAGTAATTGTACTCTAAACACAGGTTTAAAAATGGAACCACTTTACTCTTTCATTTGGAGTGAATATTTTTCTCAGCGTATAGGTAGGTACCTACTGATATATCCAATTAATTGGTTTGTGTGTTCTTTTACATCGAATCATGATTTTTTTCGAAAGTGCAGCAAATAAGCTTCACGAAAGGTAATTTCAGCCTGCCTAAAACCCAATGCTTTTAGATGACCAAAGTTGACCTTAACTCATTCAGAAACCGATTCCAAATCAAATCCCAACAAAAACCATGATAAAATACTAAATCCCAAACCAAACTCAGCAAATGAGTGAAATACCATACCAAGTTTTAACCAAATCCATGTTTTAACCAAAAAGTTTTATCCGCAATGCTGGTATCCGATTGAAATATCTAGTATGTACCGTTTGGTGCCGGCAGTGGCGGCGCTCTCGGAGGCCAGCGCGGCCGGTGGTCCAGTGACGTCATCAGGGCGCGGTCGGACCGGTGACGTAGTCGGGAGAGCCACCCCTCCAGTCCTCCGATGGCCGGCGGCGGCGGGTCGGCGCTGCGGCCTGGCAGGGAAGGGGGCAGTGAGGGACAGGGACAGGGGCGGCCGACGGGGACAGGGACGGGGCAGGGAAGGGACAGTGAGGGACGGGACATTGAAGGGGCAGGGAAGGGGACAGTGAGGGACGGGGACAGGGGCGGCCGACGGGGACAGGGACGGGGCAGGGAAGGGACAGTGAGGGACGGGACATTGAAGGGGCAGGGAAGGGGACAGTGAGAGACGGGGACAGGGACGGGACGGGACAGGGACAGATGGGCGTCACAGCCCTCGTCGCAGCGGCTGCCCACCTGGTTTGGACGGGACGGCGGGCTCCCGGCTGCTAACGGCGCTCTCCCCCGGCGCTCCGGCGCTCTCCCCCGGCGCTCCGGCGCTCTGCCCCGGCGCTCCGACGCTCTCCCCCGGCGTTCCGGCGCTCTGCCGCCGGTCGGAGCCGGCCTCGGTGGCGTTCAGCGATGGCAGCGCCTCTAGTGACTGTGTTGGGAGGCTGACGTTGGTAGGTGGCGCTGCGGGCGCTCCGAGGATCAGCAGTCGGCCGGCCAGCGGTGTCTCCGAGGGGACGTTTATCGAGGAGCCGCCGCTGCTGAACAATTATCACATATCAACCCGCGCCACGCGGGGGGGGCGGGGAGGGGGCGGCGCTTGAATCCCTTATGCAATTTTCACAAATTTATAAAGACACCATTTTTGGCACACTAGGTACGGCTCTCGCGAGATTAAGCGGTAGGTTTTGCACTTTTACATTTCCGGTTATATCTGAGAAACTAATCGATCTACGATGAAGCCATTTTGCACGATCATGGCCGGCTTGTGAACCAACAAGTCGATCGCATCTCCAACACTTAAAAGCTTAAGACGACAAAGATATAGCCTGAAATACACTAAGTTTTCTAGGTGCAAAACTTACCGCTAAAACCCGCGAGACCTGTACAGTGGAATCCGTTTAATAAATCCACGGATAATGAATCCAGCCGCTTATTGTGGCCGCTTGAGCTGTTCAAGGATTTTCTCCATAGTTACCCGCAGTTAACCCGCGACCGCCTGGGGGGGGGTCGGATCCGACCCCCCCCCCCTCCGTTTTTCTTGAATAACTCATGAACCACTTTCGCTATCTACTTGAAACCTGGCATACCTTCTCCCCCATCAATTTGACGTCTCCTGTGCAATTTTTAAGAAAAAATTTCCAATTTTTTTTTAGATATATCGATTTTAGTGATGTAACTACATGGCGTTTTTAGTCAAAAAGTGGTAAATGTTTAAAAAATCGCCAAAAATCAGGGTTTGAAGCAAATTGCAAATTAAGGACATCAAAAGACGCAGCTTAACGAGTTCTTTAAAATGGCTATCTCGGATTTTCCATAAAATGCGTTTTTCACCCCTAAAAATTAAAAAAACTATATTTTTTGGAAAACAGCTAATAAAATCCAAAATTTTGGGAATTTCCAAAAAACCGGAATATATGTTGTAGAGCTCTATTAGAACATTAGATGGCCCAAATTTCAACTTTCTATCTTGATTTTTGACCCCCAAATTGTAAAAAATAGCTCCAACATGCATAGGGCATTGTGACGTCATAAGCATTTTCGTGAATTAGAGGCACTTCTGAACATCGCATGTGAAAACAAATGGCACCACTAGATTCCTGGGACAAAGCTCGTCTAGAAAAGTGCATTTTTATGTCAAAAATAAAAAGTTGAAAAATTGACCTTTTTTTCTTAGCCCTCGTTTAGTTATGTATAGTATAAACGATTTTTTATGCTTTCAATGCACACTTATCACCAGCACAGTGACTTGGGGTCACATATAACCATTACCATCGGATTCGGCGTGAAAAATAAGCCATAAAACATGTGTCGCACGCCCATGTAGCAGAAAGTGAAAACCGTGACCTTTCGTGACCTGACCTGACCTTGACCTGTACCTAGTATGACCCCTATACGCATATGGTACCTTCACTAGGCCTTTGAGGTCATTTTTGGTGAGTTTCGAGCAGCAGCTATCGATTCCGCTGTCCGTAAGCCGATTCATGCAAAACCCCTGAATTTGACCTTTGACCTGACCTTGACCCGAAAGTTGACCTCAATCTTAAAATCTTAAGAGTGCTTTGGGAAGGTCTCGTAGAGACCTTTCGAACGCCGCCTCGCGGGGCTCGATACGACCATTGGTTCTCGAGATAACAGGGGGGGGGGTCGGATCCGACCCCCCCCCCCCCCAGGCTGTCGTGGGTACGGAAATAGCCCAGGCGGTGCCGGGTTAAAAAAAATCCGCTTAATAGATCCACGAAATCCGCTTAATAAAGCCACTTGGGAGTTTCGAAGTCCGCAGTGACATCTCCTCATTCAAAATGTGGCATCCAACCCACTAAAAAAGAACCGCACTGGAGCAGCGGTCTGCAGCAGTTGGACTTCCCACGACAGATCAGAGAGTTCAGGGGTATTAAGAGCGCCATCACCAAGCACCTCAGAGAAATGTTCCCGGCAAAGCAGGCACCCTCAACTGTTTCGCTGGCATAACAGGCATGACGGGGAGTGATCGTGGATGGGCATGTGGATGGGCAAACAAGTCAGCCAAACAACAAGCCAAAAAAGGAGGTATCGACTATCGATCTGAAACTTGGTATGTAAGTAGGGGAAGATTGGGGGAGCACCGCCCTTTGGGGAACACTGCCCGTCCCGTTATCAGAAATATGAAAAGGTCTAGGGCAACAGCTGACTGTCTTTTGGCAGCGTGACGAAAAGAGAAGTGCAGGTATCGGTAGTAGGTACACTGCATTGGTTTAGGTGATTTGCGAGAAATTCCCAATTTTTCGTTTCGTGAATACGTTTAATACTTTTTCTAGCATAATAAGCAGAAGAAAACTTACCTATCTCATTTGACAGACATTAGTCCTGAAGTAGTATTTTTGCCATAATTAGGGTAAGGGCGGGTAAGAGTACGCGGGCGATAAGAGTACGCATCAGCTGTTTCGGTTGCTTAGCAACGCGGGTTTGTCGAGTTCATGAAGTGACATGAAGCCGCCAGTGCGTGCATGTCACCAACGGAACGTGGGCCTTGAGCGGCGACGCTGTTGAGTTTAAGGCGATTAATATTATTTTCGAGCGTTATGATATTATTATGATATGGTACAATAATTTTTATACTTGGCAGTTGAGATAAGGTACATTTCCGTGATTGTTGTGGGAAACTTGTGAGGTTATCTGGGGAAATACTGTACAGTGCAATATTCTGTTTGCGAAGTTTTGCACAACGTTTCGGGGTTGTTTTGTGCGCGAATTGCATGTACGGTAAGAGGACGCACTGTTCAGGAGGGTAAGAGTACGCAGAATTATACATTAAATCGAATATACAGAAATATAGAATTATTAATCTATCGCTCAATGACGTTTGTTTTGTAGGCATATCATCAATGGAGCACTGTGATGCAGATGCGTACCCGAAATTCTTCCAAATACGAGTTATTCTCCTTTTTGATTGTGCATTTTTTTAAGAAACACACGACATGATTATTTCCTGATTTATAGACTTGAAAGATTTATTTTATGTTTTTCTTTTTGGATACTAGAATTAACTTAAATGCCTTCTGAGTTTGAAGTTAAGCATTTGGACAGTGCAAGCTGCATAGGTGTGTGTTCATATGCTTGCGTACTCCACCCGCCTGGCGTGCGTACTCTTAAGCCCGGTTCCGACTATGAGGTTGCTTCAGGCCACATCAGGCCACATCAGGCCAGATCAGGCCAGATCAGGCCCAATCAGGCGTTCAGGCCAAAGTTGAACGTCGGACGCTCGGCCTGATCAGACCGTATGGGACGCCAGACGCCAGACGTCAGGCGTCAGGCCGTCGGTCTGCCTCACCAAATATCTTTTAAAGGTAGTGTGCTACCTTTGAAAGATTTCCTATTTTATTTTTCCTAGGATAAGAAGCTTCTGTTTTACCTAATATCGCAAAAAAAATCAAAAATGGGCCTGGAATAGTGCCTTTTTCGCCTAAAAGTTTATCGGTTTTTCGATATGTATAACAACTGTAGTGGGCTGAGCTGCAAACAGGCGTCGGCAACAATCGCGAATGCGGCGCACATGTGACAATAAGCAAAGGTCATTATAGAAATACGACGTACGGGAAGGAGTTATCAGCTGTCTAATCGTAGACAACACAATGTCGAGCCTGTAAGCCTGTATTGGTATTGTTTCTTTTATTTGGCTGTCGAACATTATTTATGGTTTGAAATATGATTTTATGTAAAATAATTGATATGAAAAAGCCGTCTCTTAACCCTCGCCCGTAAACGGCGATCTGCCACCTTCGCCCATGCAGGGGGGGGGGGGGTTGGTGCGACCCCCCCCTTGGCGTTTGAAAACGGAGCGTCGTAGAGCTTAGCGGAAAAGACCAACGGATTGCTCTCGCCGAGATCTCGCGATTGGTGGTATATTTTTTGGTCATAGGTCAACATTTGACCTACTTTTGACCGGTCAAAGGTCAAATTTTCGGAAAAATAGACTTTTTTCAACTTTCCGTGGCGATTGCGGCAAAACGGTGGGAGAAATCGACTTGAAACCTTCACTATCGTGTTCCTTGATCAATTCACTATCGTTTGGTATGTATTTCGTTTCCCTAGCTCTAAAAATGGCGCGTTGGGAGCGCCGGAAGTCGGCAAGGTCACAGTCGGCGGTAGAAATTCGAAAAATCAAAATTTAAATTTTTGAAATCTGATTGTATTTTTGGATTTGGAAGGTCCATTTGCTCCCTATAGAAGCTAATATTGCTCCATATTCCCATTGAGGTGACAAGAATTAGCAAAATAGTGGTTCGGGCGCTTTTCAAAAATAGTACCGGACGCTGTTCCTCTTGTGACGTCATAGCTCCGTGACCTGACCTGACCCGGTCAAGTTTCTTATACCATATGATAGCCAATACTTGCCCCAATATGCATGGGAAGTTTCATCACGATCCATCAACCGATGTCCGTACCACCGGCAGGAAACCTCGGGCGTTGGCACTCAGTTTGTGAAAATCCGGCCGGAGGCTGTTCCCTTTGTGACGTCATACCTCCGTGACCTGACATGACCCGGTCAATTTTTTTTTATCAAAAGATGCGCAAGGTTTGCCCCATAAGGTACCCAAAATTTGGCGGCGCTGCGCGCCGCCGTTTTTGCACTATTTCCGAAAAACCTCAGGGGGGGGGGGTTGCACCAACCCCCCCCCTACATGGGCGAGGGTTAAGTTATGACCCCATTTCACCACACGCAAGTGGCAGAAATGACAATGATCAGCTGACGCATTTTTCTTGGCCGAAGTCAGAGCGCGCTGCCTGACGCACCACCACCGCACCACAAAGTATGAGCAGAAGCCGCGCCCAAAGCCAGGGCCCCGGTAACGTGAGGTAGCCGAGTCGGGGCAGCGTGCGCTGACCCAGAGCCTATTTTAAGGGAATTTGACTGGGGGGGGGGGCAACCTGGAAAATTGTCTTTAATAATCGATTAACCCTCGCCCGTATTGGTGTTTTCCAGCTGCGAACGTATAGGTATGGAGGGTCCGTTGGACCCTCCCCCTTGCCGTTTCGCCCCTGATCGAGCCAGAGCTTCGCG